GCGTTTGGCTACTGCGTTTGGCTACTCTTAGCTTGCGTTTGGCTACTCTTAGCTCGTGTTTGCACCGTTGTCTTTCGCTCTTTTTGTTTTAACAAAGTTTCAGCTTCAGTGAACTCACTCAGTGTTTTCTGTAAAAACTTGCATTATTTATTGAAACAGTTTAATTAGCATTTAGCTGCTGGTTCTCCTGCTGAGCCCTTAGCGTTGACTGAGGCCCTGTGGGTCATTTTAACCCACGGGCAGCAGGAGGAGACCCAGAAGTTCACCTCCTTCAGTCTGTTTCCTCTTCCTGCAGATGGAGGAGCTGAAGAATGAGAACGCGCTGCTTCAAGCCAAACTGCAGCAGCACGGCGTGGAGGTCAATGGAGACGAAACGCCGCAGTGACCTTTGAACCCGGGCAGCACCACAGCTCCTCTTGGATCGGTCCAGGACGGGGAACAGATGGAGAGACGCCTGAGAGGTGGAGGACGGGAAGCAGGTCGCACCTTGTCTTCAGGTGCACCCACGTCTCTTTAAACCACCAAACTGCCACAAACGGACTCACCTTTACAGATTCCAGCTTTTTATCTCCGAGTTGAACGGACCTGAACCATGGCCCCACTCGGTCTGGATTTATTGGAGGACCACGCAGACCTCCTGAGATGGACCTGAACCATGGCCCCACTCGGTCTGGATTTATTGGAGGACCACGCAGACCACCTGAGACTTCAGAAACCTTCATTCTGCTGCGAGTAAACTCAGAAACTTTTCAGAAACTGAGCCGGATATGAAGGTTTTTATTCTTGGCTTGAAGCCTGAGCAGTAGTCAGGGTGTTACCTGGCTCAGGTGAGTGTGAGGGGGGCGGGGTGGGGGCTGACTTCTTTCAGCACCAGGTTTAAACCGGTCCGGTGGAGCAGGACCACAGCTCTAACCTCTGGTTCTGACCCAGTAAATGTTTGTTTCCATGGAGCAGCGGAGACGTGGACACCAACAGGTGGTCACCAGCGTATAGAACCAGTTCCTGTGGTTGGATCAGAAACTTCACCAGTTTCCTTCGGCTGTTGGATGAACCTGAATTCTGAGCGAGGCCCTCGCTGCGACAAACACGAGTTGTCTGTGAGCAGCGAGCCGTGCGGCCGCATGCTGGGACCGCTTTACAACATCACAAGCAGTGTGTGCAGTGCAGCGTGCACGTGGTTCCCGACTCGTACCTGGACAGGTGGAACACGACACGTCGTTGAGCCTCAACTAAAACTAAACGTCTTTTAAATACTTCACATTTGAACGAGTGCAGTGAGGTCAGCAACAACAAACCCGACCCAATAATCTGAAGCCGTCAGTCAGGACCACGTCCCGTTGGTTCACGTGGAGGAACCAGAAACTGGTTCCGTCCTCGCGGCTTCAGCTTCCACATCCCGGCCCGCTCTCTAGTTACGAATGACGTCGTCTTTTTGAGACGATGGATCTTTGGTAAATTCAGTTTGTGGCAGCGCAGCGAGAGGCTGGCTTCACTCGGCAGATCAAATCATGAAAAGAACCGAGAGGGATCCGGTGTCGATGTTGGTGCCATCAAAAAGGAATCCAGTGAGATCTCCATCACTTGAAGGTTCTGCGTGTTGGACTCTGGTCCTGAACGGGTTTTAAAACGAGCTGAAGGTGAGCAACAACTCCTGTACAAAACTAGATTGATGCAGCTTCTGTGGGATTACCTTGTGCTTTTATCTCTTGAATGAACTCTAATCATCTGTTTTCATTTTGAGCCTCCGAACTGATCAGCTGATCTTTTATTTACTGACACGTTTCATGTTTGAATAAAGAAGTTCAATATTTGTTTAAACGGCTTCATTGTGTTCATTTTGTTTTGAGGGATTTTTAAACCACGTGATCTTGTAGAGCGAATTTTCTGCATCGCACCAACCAAAAGCTGGAAGTTCGTCACCAAGTGGTGAGCTTAGAGACTTTAGGAACCAACATAAACCTTTTCTTGAAACACTTGATAAGTACGACAGTTTTTAGAACAGGGTTTATTTAGTTCTTCTATTCATCATGAGCAGAGTAAATGAACGTCTTGATTGAGAAATGGCTCCAACCTTCCACACATTGAGTTGAATTTGGGGTGGTAGTAGCTGAGAGTCATCCTCAACGTGGTGATGAACAACAGGTGTGGAGTTGGAGGAAATGCTGACCAGGGGAAAAATTACAAATATGACTCAGGCAGCAATAAACAGAAAACTACCGGTAAACAGAAACAACGAGTGTTCTCAGGAACTGTGACGTTGTAATATAAATGCAGATGTTTTGTTGAATAAACAAGAATAAACAATCAAAGCTGCTGTCACCATGGTAACCACACACCTGTTTGTTGCTCCAGCACTCTTAATAAGACAGACAGAGTAAAACAGCTGTGTGAAATCTTCAGAGCTGTAAAGACCTCCATGTGCTGCTCGCTGCAGACTTCACCTGGGAGCTCAGACTGGAGGTCAAAGGGAGTTTGATGGAGGGGAACCTTCAGCCCTGTGGAAGAGGACCGCATGACGTCACATCCTGTTAAAAACCGTTAGAGGTGAAAACAGGAGCTCAACTTCCTGTTCAGACTGCTGGTTCTGTGTGAAGTCTGGGCTGCAGGTCCAAACAGGACTGGGTTTATCACTCGCCGTAAGCTAGCAACCACTAACTAGCTGCTAACTAGCTGCTAACTAGTGTCTGCGATCGTTTGTGAAGTTCTGGAACCGGTTCCGGTTCGAATCAGAGGCCCAGAGTTTGTCCGCCCGTGTAGTTTTAACGTTCGTGTGTTTACATGGACCTGCTTCTTGTTTTTAATTATTTACTAACGGCTTTGTTAGCGTCAGCTAGCACGTGTGCGTGTGTCGGCTCGTTGCCATAGAGACGGCCCCCTCTCAGCCGTCGCCATAGAAACCGGGAGCCGCAGCAACAGCTCGCGCGCCGAACGGAACTTTCTGGAATTCCGGTGAGTTAAAAAATATATATCATAAAAGGAGAATTAAAGAGATTTTAGATGATTCATGACGGATACGAACAATAAAACCGAGAAACTTCAAACAGAAACTTTACGGCTAAAGATCAAACGAGCCGGTTGAAGTTTAGAATATTTTAAATATTTAACCAGAAATCTGAATATATTTGACTTTTTCTATAATTTTCACAACAGCCTCATTTCCTTGTTGACAATAATAATGTTATAAATGCAGTATGTGTACAGTCTATATCTGTGGTGTGTGTGAGCAATATACGGCCCGAGGGCCAACAGTGGTCCTTGGATGATCTCCATGTCCTTCATGAAAAGAAAACGATTTTCTAATAATCGGATCAATACCTGCATTTTCAAGGAAATGTGAAACGTGAAACATGTAAATTAAGATAGCCAAACCTTTTTGTTGTTGTTTTTGCCTTGTAAGTCATTGTTTGTATTTTTAGAACTAGACGGAACCTACAACTCAAAAAAGCAAATGCAGCATTTTATTTTCATTATTTAAATTAACAAATCTATCTTCACAAGATCCAGCTTACAGGAAGTAAGTCTTCTGTTCCTGAAGGGTTCATATTTTTAACAAACATGCTAACTATGCTAAACAAGACCAAAGCAAAACAACCAACCATGTGACGTGGCTATTAAACTACCTGACAGGTTCTGATTACCCATAAGTCCACTTGTTGTGCTGCAGCAGGATGTCGGCCCTCCCCTTGAAGCCGGGCCTTCGCCACAGCGTCTCCGAGTGGAGCAGCAACAACCACCAGCTGTCCACCACCGCTCAACACGAGCGGCACGTCTCCACGGTGACCCGACAGGAAGGAAGGTCGCTCCGCAACGAGACCAACTGTCAGGTGACTTCCTCTTCATGTCATATGACTTCCTGTTCATATTAGGTGACTTCCTGTTTCTGTCAGGTGACTTCAGGTGACTTCCTGTTCAGTCAGGACGACGGCTGCTCGTCTCCGTTAGCAAATAAAACTTTAGCTTCTGATTCCTGGACGAACAGATAAACCTGATCTGGTTTGTTTATCTGTAAATAAAAACAGTTTTTACTGTTTACTTTATTATTACAATGTAAAAGAGGACAGTTTGAAAGACTAAAGGTCTGAATTTAAAAATTAAAGTGATGTACCTTTAGTTATTGTTGTGAACACTTTGTGTTGAAATGTTTTTGTTTGTTGTTGTTGTGAACTTTGTTTATTTGTTTGTTGTTTTGGTTAACTTTGTTTGTTTGTTGTTGTTGTGAACTTTGTGTTTGTTTGTTGTTGTTGTGAACTTTGTGTTTGTTGTTGTGAACTTTGTGTTTGTTGTTGTGAACTTTGTGTTTGTTGTGAACTTTGTGTTTGTTTGTTGTTTGTTGTGAACTTTGTGTTTGTTGTTGTGAACTTTGTGTTTGTTGTTGTGAACTTTGTGTTTGTTGTTGTTGTGAACTTTGTTTGTTTTCGGTGCAGACGGCGTGGGATGAGAGCGAAACGTCCCGCAGGCTCAGCGACCGGGTGTGGGACGTGTCTCGGTGGAGGGACGTGCTGGACGCCTGCGCGCAGAAAGTGGACGAGGAGCTGGAGGTTCTGACCCGGGTGATTTGATGGACCTGTGTGCCGGTCCGTGCTCCAGAACCGTGTGTTGTCTCTGACCTGTCTGTTCTGTCTGTGCGGCTCAGTCCAAAGAGCAGACCGAGCTGGCTCTGGCCGCCACCGCCGTCCCTCTGGAGGTCAGCACCGAGTGCCTGGCGCTGAGGGAGGGCCGGCGCGGGTACGAGCTGGTTCTGGACCCGGTGGACGAGCAGCTGAAGAAGGAGGCGGAGCTTATTGTGGGGGTGCAGCAACGCCTGCAGCAGCACATCGATGAGGCTTTTGAGCAGCTGTGGTGAGTGACCCGCCGTGGTTCTGACGTCCCGTCGACCCGATCAGGCGTCTGACCGTGTGTCCCGGTTCTGCTCACCAAGCGTTCTGCAGGAGGTCCGGCACCAGCTGACCTCTGACCTCCAGAACAAGATGGAGGCTGTGGACATCGACATGTCCTGCCTGTCGCTCACCACCAAGTCTCCCCACATCTCGCTGAAGCCCAACCCAACCCGGATCCCCTCAGGGTAAGCATCTTCTACCGTTCAGAAGTTCTGTTTGGACCCGAGTCACTGACCCGTTAACGTGTTGCTGTGGTCGAGGCAGGTCCTCCACCCCCCAGGAGTGGGCCCAGTTCAGCCAGGTCAACGTGACCCGAGCCCACGAGGCCATGCAGGCGTCCCAGCAGCTCCGAGAGGACACGAGTCTCAGCAGAGCTCAGGTGGGCGAGACGTGGACCCAGGTCTGCTGTCAGAACCGGCCCGTCACAGAACCAGCCGACAAACAGCTGCAGGTCCAAACTGAACCTTGGCCTCAGCAGCTGATTCATGTGACCGAGCCGAAGTCTAAAAAGAGCTTAAATGTCTGAAGTTGTAAAATCTGTCAAAAGTTACAGGATGAACCGTACGGTTTGACTCCAGAACCTTAGAACCGGGTCGGATCAGGAGCTCGTTTCATCAGAACCGAGAGAAAGAACCGTCCTCAGCTGAACGTGTTTAATCATCTGAAGAATCTGTTTCGATCAAAACGTTCGGCTCCTTCAGGACGTTCCTGCTCTGACGTGTGCTTTGTGTATTTTACTTGTTGAAATATTCAGCGCTGTCGGCCAAAAGATCCTTCAAACCTTTAGCTGTTGTTCTGCTTCAGCTGCTTTCAGCTTCTTTCTTCTTTTCATTTCTTGTTATTTCAGCTACTTTTCTGTGTTTTTCAGAAAATTTTAGCTTTTCTTTTGACCCCCCCCCCCCCATTCTTTGCCTTTTGTGATTATTTCTAATAATTTCAACTTTTATGTTCCTTTCAGCTTTTTTCAGTTTTTTCAGCTCGTTTCAGGTTTGTTTGTAATCTGTTCAGCCTCTCTGCCTGTTTCTGCTGCATTCAGCCTTTTCTACACGTTTCGGCTGTTTTTCAGCAGCGTTCAGCTGACGTCGTTCAGCAACGCGTTCACACTGAATGTCACAGATTTGCTTTCTTGTAGATCCAGAACGAGCTGGAGGCCCAACGCCGAGCCACAGACTTCGCTCTCCGGAAACGGATCCACGGCGAGGAGCAGGCCCGAGACCAGCTGCAGTGGCAGGTCCAAACGGTGCGGATCAGAACCAGAACCTCCGAGGTCTGTTTTGAACTCCTCCACTGACTCCTGTGTGTTCCTGCAGACTGAAGATGAGATGTCCGAGATGGAGGGCGACATCCGGGGGCTGGACTCAGACCTGCAGGCCAAGGCGGCCTCCCTGAAGCTGGCTCACACCCGGCTGGAGACCAGGACCCGCAGGCCCGGCGTGGACCTGTGCCGGGACGAGGTCTCTGTGGAGCTCACGGTTCCAGCGGCCGTCAGAGCCACGGCAGGAACGCTGAACGTTGTTCTGGTTTGGTTTCAGGTGCAGCGCGGCCTCGTGGCTGAAGTCCAGCAGCTGGAGTCCTCGATCCAGACTCTGAGGCAGAAACTGTCCGAGGCCCGGTGAGTCCGTCTTCTTCTGGTCTGCAGCAGGACACGGTTTGAGCGGCAGTGGTCTGGGCTTTGGTCAAGAAAATGTGCACCAAACTCATCACTGGTTGATTAGTGGGTCTCACCTGGACCCAGGTCCCCTCATGACCTACCTAGGTCCATCAACAAGGTTCTGGCTGATACTGGACCAGTTTTATTCTTCTTGGCAGAACCTGTAGAGTCCAGTTGGTTTCCTGGTTTTCAGCTTTTCAGTCAGTTGGATGTGGGCGTTTTGGGAAAACCGTTCCTGAAACTAAATGTGGGACGGATTTATTCAGACCAGTTCTGATGTTTGGGATCTTGGTCCTGTTGGACCCAACTGTGTCCAAGTTTCCAAGGTCTTATGGTTTGAGGAGAAGACTCTGGAGGTAGTCCTCGTCACTTTGTGTCACACATGATGCTCCCACCACCTGACAGTTGGCTCAGTGTTGTCAGGTGGACATTTGTCTTGTCCATGTGGACAGCTGCAGGTTTCAGTCCAGCCTGGAGGTTTTGGAGCTTCGTTCTTGGTCATTTCAGTCCATGATGGTGGAGAACTGTCTTCACTGTGGACACGGACTCTGATAGAACAAGACTTTGATCTCTGGTGGATAGGGACTGTAGTGGACAAGGACAGTGTTGGACAGAGACACTGTTGGACAAGGCCTCCAGTGGGCTGGGACTCTAGTAGACAAGGACACTGGTAGACAGACACTGGTCCCTGCTGGACAGGGACTCGGGTGGGGAGGGACAATGGTGGACAGAGACTCTGGTCTCTGCTGGACAGAGACTGGTGGACAGGGACTCTAGTGGACAGGGACTCTGGTGCTCCAGCAGGTTCCAGTTCTTGTCCAGTGGCCCAGTTCAGTCTCGGTGGTTCCTGGACACCAGAACAAGTTTCTTTTCATCTGAGGGACAGATGAGTGTTGGACAGTCCAGTGATTGACATCAAACAAATCCTAAAAAGAGAAACTGTGAGCTGCAGCCAATCATGATTACAAACAGGAAGTAAACAGGAAGTAAACAGGAAGTAACCCTCAGCATCACCAACAGGTTCAGATGACTGCATGGAAATACTGGAGCCTGTGGATCAGACAAAATCCACAAGAAATGTATAAAAGTTATTAAAGTTGTGATTGATTTATTGATTAATAATTGATTGATTAATGATTGATTGATTGACTGATTGATCGATCCACTCAGACTCTCCCTGCAGAAGATGAGGCTCCATCATGGCCGCATGCTGCAGGACCTCTCCAGAAAACTGGAGGCTCTGTCTCTGGAGCAGCGCAGCCTGAACACCCGGACCCGCCTCGCGCCGACCTCCGGAACCACCGAGAGCGCCGCGGCGCCGCTGGTTCTACTCACGAACTCCAGTGGGAGGAGCAACCTGCAGCTGCTGGCGCAGTGAGGACACGTGGGACCCTGAGGACGGGATTGGACCACCGGGTTTCCTTTAGTTGTTTTCTGGTGTCAGACTGGGTTTCCAGCTGCTCGTTGTTCTCCTGAGGGACTCGGGGAGTCCAACCTTCAAACAGCTCCTTCTTTCCTTCATGTCTTTATTCTTCTAACGTCTCCACAGTTCCCTCCATCCAGACTCTCCTGTCATCTGCTAAACTGGTCCAGGTCAGCAGGTCTCCAGACTTTCTGAAGGTCTTCTGGAGTTTTTCCTTTGATCTTTGAAGCTGTTCGATGATTGGGGATGTATCTCTCAGGTCTGGTTCTGGTTCTGTCACTTCTCTCAGACTGAGACCATCTGCTGGAGGAACGGTTTGTTTTAGCTCTGAAACGTCTCCTGCTGGTTCAGGTTCAAACTCCAGGTCCAGGTTCTGGGATTCAGGAGACTTTTGTCTGAAATTTCCCTCTGGGCAGTCTTGATCCTGAGTGATCGATGGATGCAGTAATGAGGGTGTCACTCCAGTCTGTTGTAGTGAAAGAGCTGAGCTGAAAGCCTGGTCCCTCTGACCTTCAGCTGTGGTCATTAGAAGGTGAGGCAGGAGACATGACAACCTGAACGTCATGAAATGTCTCCTCACATCGAAAACTGGTCGGATTAAATCACTGAAGACGTTCCAGTCACTTCAGACCGTTTGTTGCAGCACCAGAACCTCACGGTGCATCAATGTAAGAGCAGCCTCTGCAGCTACGTGCTGAGAGGAAGAGTCCGAACTTCGTGCTGCGTTCATGAACTGATTTCTTTACTTTGAAGCTGGAAAATAAAGTTTGAACGTGTCGTTAATCTGAGCGGAGAGTAAAGAATCAATCAAACTTAAAAATAACAGGCAGCACGGTGGAGCTGCGGTTAGAGCTGTCACCGCTGAGTGAGAAGGTCACAGGATCAACTCCCAGCCTTTCTGGGTGGAGGTTACATGTTTGGTCCCTCCAGTTTCCTCCCACAGACCAAGAACATGCATGTTAGGCTGTTGGACAACTAAACTGTCCCTAGGTGTGTTTGTTTGTCTCTGTGTGTCTCTGTGATGGTCTGAGACCTGTCCATGTGTCTCTGTGTGGGACTGAGACCTGTCCAGATGTCTCTGTGATGGTCTGAGACCTGTGCATGTGTCTCTGTGAGGGACTGAGACCTGTCCATGTGTCTCTGTGAG